GAGTTGTGAGCCATTCGCGACGGTTTCGTTCCGATTCCGTTATCAACGGGCAACGAAACATGTCTCGAGCACAACACAGGCACACAAAATTTATAAGAGAAAATACAATTGAAATTAAATATATATTAATAATAATAATAATAATAATAATAATAATAATAATAATAATAATAATACCACAAAACAATTTTGAACTAATAATAATAATAACTATTTATTGTAATAATAATAAAGAGAAAAAGAAAATAATAAAAAGAGAAATTAACAAAAAAAAAATGTCAAATGACAGGAGTTATAAAAATAAGTAATGTTGAAATACAAAATACGAGATAAAATAAAAGGCTACGGTGACGGTAGAAAGCAGACAAGCGCTGCCGTCGTTCGCGATGGTCGTCACACCATCCGTGAACGCTTCGGGGTTTATTGCCGACTCCGAAAACTGGTTCGATTAATCTATCGGGCGTCCCGATGATAATCGAACGAATGGTGACACCAAGGCAAAGGGGTGTAACAGGTGAGATCGTGGTATTGCGACACGACCGTATCAAACAATCATATTTTCTTGTCGTTTACAGGCTATAGATGTGTCGCGAAAGTATTGAAAAGAAATATAAATAAATAAATAAATAAATAAATGAAAAACAATAACGGTTTCCACCGGTGGTCAGCAATTCAATCATCGATGGACCGTCTGCGTCATGTTTCGCTCAAACACGTCAATTTCATTTCGAAAAAAAATTTTCGTAACGATTTATAAAACAGAAAGTCCAACCGATTTAACACATTCAATTGGCACGATAAATTCTGTTTGATTATGTAACTCGTTTAAAAACGTTTTATCAATTTCTACAGTAAATTAATAGATAAAAGACATTTTTCCTCTTGGACCCGCTCGCGTTTATTCATTATTTTGTACTACCAGCGGAAATGGTTTCGCGTTGTTCGGATGTCTACAATGTCCGCGGCGTTATTTCCTTCGGCTTTACATTATTTTCACACCGAGTCCCTTCGGACTGTATTTATTCCCCGATGTCCAAAAGGCTGCTAGATCCTCGAGGATGTCTGCGCGCGAAATTAAAGAAATTAAATAACACTTGCTAAAAAAGTAGATTGAAAACTAATCTCCTTAACGTGTTCGTTTGCATCATAGTCTTAGTCGTCATTTGAGATTGCATAAATTAATGCTATTTACATTTTATTTCTTTAAAATCTGAAATGAATCATATCCAATGGATGTGTCAGGTGCTAAATCTAATTTTTGCATCATTATATACTTACACTTTTTAAGAGGATGCCAATTTCAAATTTTTATAGTTAACATACATTTTCAAAATCCATAGATAATAATAAAACTAAATGATTGGTTACAGTTATTTACTTGAATATTTCTAAATTTGATAGAAAGCATATCATTATATATAGAATATTTAACATCATCGTTTAGTTTCATTTCAAGTTTAGGATAAGATTTCCGTAAAGCTGATTGATTGCGCCGCTACCGATCCTACAAATATGGCGGTTGTCGGCAACAACTTGCGTTTTATGTTGAGGATGGAAGTGCAGAAGGGTTAACCACGACAGCACGATCTTTAGGTCGGAAACACGTATATTTTTATAATAAATAATAATAAATAATAAATTAGCGGGCGCCCAAATAAAACTTAATCGTAAGATCTACTTAACATCAATAATATATCATATATAATAATAAAACCCGCTTTGATCGGCCCACTAGCCACGTGGGGCTAAATAATAAAAATTGTGACCGGGTTGCGACTGCACAGCTCTTGAGATGTTCCCTGGGTTTCACCATTATGTAGGTCTCGCCGGACAATTCCACGTATATCCTCTGTGGATCAAGAAAAAACCAAAAATCTCCACAAGTGCCCGGACGCGGAGAACCGGAGCGCGTACGCTACGATCAGTTACACCGTTCGAAAAAGACAAAAAGGCTCGGCGGCCAACAACTAAGAGACACATGAGCGGGACAGCGGGAGCGGAGAATATCCATAAAGAAATCGTAACTCGTTCCGTGTTCGAACACTGATACAATTAGATCATGTAAAACAAGTAATCTATGAACTATATCTATATTGTTGTTCATTCTAGAATTCTTGCGTGTATAATATTCCCTTTTATTATTATAATCTTCCTACTGGATTATACTTCTAATAGTTGTACTGAAAAATGAAAAATAAAAATAAAAATACCAACTGTTTTAAGTATAGATTTTTACTATACATCTGAATAAAATACTAACCGATTGGAAGAAGTGTATATCGAATAACGTTCTATGCAGTAAAACGTAAGAATATAATTGTTAATTTTAATTTGATTTGCTCTAAGGATTATATGAATTATTTTAGGTTCTATAAAATAGAAAATAATAAAATAATATATCTATTATTTTAGGTTCTTTTAAGTTTTGAAATGAACATCGATTATTTGATATCATTAATAATAAACAATGTTTATTAAACATAGTTAATAAAAACGATAAAACACAAAGTATAGTATGTATATATACTTTTTTAAGTTCACTTGTAAAGACATGAGGTAAACAACACCGGTATGAAAATTGGCATCAACGCTTTAAACTTTGTACGCAATTGTGTAGTTAAAAATTAGGTAAAATCGTACGGAATCGTATAGCTTAAAAAAGTATCGTCGATAACGAACGTACGCAATCGTGTTTTACCCTATTCAAATATTTACCAAATATTTTAGTAACTATTGAATTGTACGGGTTGCGGGTGTCTACAACCATTAAGAACATGAAAAAGATAGAAGAGCTTCAACACCCCCATTTTTTTCATTCTAATTGCACCCCTGATTATAGCAAAAATATTATAAATTAAAGGTTTATATAAATAATTTATTGGAAACATATATTGTTGGTACCAAAATTACATTGTTATAAGATTGCCTTAATAATTTTCAAGAAATTAAAAGAAAAGTTAATTCGAAAAATGTCGGATTCTTGGGAAATCATATATCTTTTAATAAAATAATAACTATAGTTGTATATTTTATTGTTTTATTACTCAAACATTTATTGCAAGATTCAAAATATGTTAATTTCCATTGTGCAAACTATCTACTAAAAATAATCAGAAGATTGGGTTTTTTTACGAAAAAAATATTTTGAGTAATATACAATTTTCAATTTCCGTCATATTTATCTGACAATTACTTGAGATATTAACTGTTATTTAAATTTTTAAATTAATGCATTTTTTACAATTTAAATTTCTATTTCTAAGGCATGAAAATGTTTGTAGAAGTTGGTTAGTAATAACTAGAGCGCGGATTTCTATGCAATCGCATATTTTTTTCCTTTCAATATTTTTGGATTTTTGTCAGTTATCTCCACGAATCATCATAATTTGAAGCTAATGGTGAATTTTTTTTTTTGCATATTTCTGCATATTTAGAGGTTATTGTATGTTTTTGCATATTTTGGCAAAATTCAAAATTTATTGCATATTGAAGTGAAAATTTAAAAAAAATGTATAAAATAATATTTGATCAAGTAAAAAAATTAAAAATAAATTTCATAGTCACTAAATAATAATTTATATATATATATATTTAGTTATAAAATAAATAATCGATTATGACGTAAACTTAATCGCTCTTGCTGTGTCAGTCGATTATCGACATACCACTTGCTTCAAATATGCCCCAATAACTTCGGTTGACATCAAGGGTTCGTTTTCGGTCTTTAAAAATATGTTAACCGATAAACGACACAGCTTCACAGAAAATAAACTTGAAATGCATATGATTATTTATTTTAATAATAAATAAAATTTTAAAAATAAATTAAGTTCAGAAAATTCCCTAAATTTTTTTGTATTAAGTATTTAAGTAATTAATTTTTATTATTTGAATTATAAATTTTAAATAAATTAAAAATTATTGCATATTTTTTGCATATTTTCATGATTTTTACTGCATATTATATGGCATATTTCGATACTTTTAAATGCATACAAATCCGCGCTCTAGTAATAACAGCTAGTAAGTATTATGTACTATGTTATTCTGATCAATATTTAAAAAATCAATTAAATTCAGGTTTCTTCCGACAAATGTTTTATTAATAATACTTGTTTTTTACAAATAAGTAACATAATAATTTTTTTTTTTTTTTAATGCCGTAAAATACTTAATGATTTAACTAGCTTTTGGGTCTTGTATTAAGAAGTATTAAAACGAAAATATAAAAATTCCAAATCATTTAAGTTGTTAGAAACAAATTATATACGTATCTACGATTAATACTTAGAATTGATTTAAAATTATTTTTGGTCATGCTCAGTTAATTTTTAGTTTTGGAGAAGGGAATAAATAAAAATCTATTAAAAATCTATTTTACTATATGGTTTATAATTTATATTTAAAATTAGTTTTGATTTTATAACACTGTTCAACACCAAGTGTCATCAACTAAATTGCAAAGCCAATTTCTCAACTGTTTTATTGTGTATGATTATTTTTAACAAACAGTTGAACATTTTACCAAACTTATCAGAGAAATTTTAAAGGGGACGCTTTATAAGCGCCGTAGGAGGTAGGGGACTTTGTCCCTTCACTTAAAGCCCTGCTTACTGGTAAATATTTGCTTATTGAACATTTACTATTATAACATATATTTTATTAAAAACAGTATACATTTTTTATATAATTTTTATTCTTAACTAATTATTCCATAATTTATTTTCTTATACTTATATAATATACTAACTAGTTACTAAGCATTATACATTCCTATTTGAATACGTGTGTCCTAAACTAGAATAACAGTTTATGTATTGCAGTATACATATACTTTAGATTAATTTCCTATTAAAATGTATACTAATAAATATTTAATATTGAATTAAAATAATGTACTTACACATATTTGATATACATTTTAGATTATTTATTTCTTATTTCTAATTACTTTGCTAATAACCTATTTATAACATAAATATAATAATTTTTTAGGTTAATGATTATTTTTTAAACTCGTGATAAATAAAAAGTTAACCATAGTCAAATTACATTTCTTTAATACACATTTGGTCTAGGTATAAAAATAGCAGAATATTCCGATGGAGAAATAGTGATACATTCTTCTTGATACTTGTCTGGTAATTGGACTCCTCGTGGTGCCTTCAATTCAAACTGTTGTACTATTTTGGCGATAAACAAAAAAAGAGTTGCCTTTCCCATTGGTTCTCCTAGACATCTTCTACTACCTACAAAATATTTAAAACAGTCTGTTGAACATTAAATACTATTATACTTATTTAAAAAAAATATTCTGTTTTAATCGTATTCTTACCAAGGCCGAAGGGCATACGCCATGTATCGTTTACAATTTTCCCATTGCTATTTAGAAATCTTTCTGGCCGAAACGACTCGGGATCGCCCCAATGTTCTATGTCCATATGAACACTCCATATACTTGCCAGTATCATAGTATCCTGAAAATATATTTTGTACTGTTATTATTATTGATTATTTTTTAAGTAACAATATTATCAAACCTCTGGTATTATGAAATCTTGTAAGTGTGTATTTCGAACAGCTCTATAGGCGATTGCTAACGGTGCCACGTTGCTATATCTCTGTACCTCCATTAACACTGCTGTGAGGTAGTTCAATCTACGTAATAATTTTTTTTAAATTTTATAAAAATTGTATTCTTATATCAGAAAAATATACTCTAGTTTATTTTTACTTTCTTTGATCTTCAAGATGAATATTTCGTTGTCCAATTACCGAGTCTAATTCATCATATACTTTAGCTTGTACATCCGGATGTTTGATAAGATTTAAAATAACGAAAGTTAACATGCTGCTTGTAGTTTCAGTATCCGCTAGAAACAAATCCAACAATAAAACGAGAAATTGTTCTTCTGAAAATGATTTTGATGATTCTCTATTTTGGTCGATTTCCATGAGAAATGCACCAATGAAATTGTTGGGGTCATATATCTGATCTCTGTTTTCATCAACTAATTCCTACAAACATTTTTTTATAAAACATCGTTTAAATTTATAGTTTTTATACTATAGTTGTATATACTTTTAAAAAGGTGTAAAATTCGTTTGAAATTTGTTTGATGTTTTTGTATCCAGAACGTTTAGGAGCAAAATACCGGATAAATGGTATTTGGTATAAAATTCCTTTCGACATATTTATCATTCTATAACTGGCATGCACTAATTCCAAGAGTTTTTTAAGTCTAGTATCGTTCAGCTCAAATTTGTGTCCAACTAATAATATCCAAAGGCCGTTGAAAACGGATATATCAAATAAACTGCTAACTTTAATTGGCTTACCATTCTAAACAAATTAAATAACAACAAATACAATTGTACATTAATTATATGTTAATTTGTGAAATATTACATTTTGATATATACCTCACATTGACTATTTAGATTTAAGATAAGCTTGTCAACTTCATCATAGATAAGTACTTCCATTAAATGAGTTCCATATCTCTTACTACGTATGTGGTGCATATTAAACTTTTTTTGTTCTAACCATCCGGGTCCATCCACAAATACAATACCTTGATTTTTAAGTTAAATACATTAATATTATACATTTGATCGTTCTATACTATTCAACTTACCAAGTTTTTGATAAAAAGCTCTGAATCTGAAAAAATATTTATCCGGACGGGCATCAAAGTCGTCATGACACAATACTTGTTTTACTAAGTCATAACCAGAAACGACTACTGTTTCCATTTGACCGAATTTAATAGAAAACACTGGACCATATTTTTTAGCTAAATGAGCCCACACTAAGTGATAGAAACCTAATTTATTTCTGAGGTTTCGAATTTTTAAATAACTCCCAATCAGAGGAAGTCGCGTGGGACCTATAAAGTAAAAGAAAAAGATATAAAAAAAGAAGTAAATTATATTGAACTTTTAAAATATTAAATTATAATTGTATTTAAAATTATACTTATAGTTATAATTATAACTTAATAAATATAAAATAAATTAATATTAAATACTGAATAACATTGGTTCTAATGCATTAATGAGTAAACAAAATTAAATTGTTTTCCGAATAAAAACTTCTTTCTTTCTCTTTACTTCTGATCTCTTTTTTTATTAAAATAAAATGTATAGAATTATTGGTAATTTAAAAAAACCAGTTAATCACAGCAATTATTATATTTTTTTTTTAATTTAAAATAATAATTTTAAACATTTCAAAAATTGTTATATTTACTATTATTGTTTAGTACAAAATTTAAATATTTGTTCTACATTAAAACAATTAAGTCTATATTTTGAAGCCAGTTTGGAAAATAAAATTTACTATGCATTTAGAGTGGGAAATATTATAGATAAGAAAATAAAATATTCAGTGTTCGAATTAGGGGGAATGAGCTCCGATATTCATTTTTTTATTTATTTATTTATTTTTTTTTTTTTTGTACCCTAACTATATTTATTTATTGTGACAGAGGGATGCCTCAAACTAAACCGACTTTTTTTCTATTAAAATGTGAAGTTATATTGATGTTAATGGTATAATGAATTTAACTAATTTTTATTATATTTTATTTTTTTATGGTTGTTTATATCACATTGTATGCTTCTATATATTTTTTTTTTAGTCTGTTTATATGATTCTACCATAGACCTTATACGTATAATTATAAGGACTATGGATATTATAAATATATGCAACTGAAATGTAGTATTCAAAATTTATGTTAGGTGGTGGTGACTGCATTGTCATACTGGCTCAAATAGTCATACCATTCATTTTATTTTAAAAGACCATTTTGAAAATTTTTTATATGTAGAGAAAGTGTATACGATTGGAACTAACGTCAAATGTTATGTCTACATCATAGGCCAGTATGGCTTTGTAGGTGAAGGATGGTGGAGGGAGCAAAGTAATTTTGCTCTTGAAATGTAATTTTTAAATCATTGTATTAAGCTCCCCTACTTAATTTTTCTTAATTCGAACACTGATAATATTTTTTAAAAAAAAAAAATGCTATTTAAATGCATTTGTGTGGGGCATAATTTAAAAAAGTAAATTACCTTTTGTCATTATATATATATCCAATACTGGACTTGGATAAAAAAAGTAAAGTTTTTATGCGTCTCTACCTAATTAAAAACTGAACATAACCATATTCGGCTTAGATGCGTCCTTTTTTATAAATATTATTATTAGCTTTATTAGCCCTTCGAAGTCCTATCAAATCCCTCTCAAAAATATTGCAAAAGTATACAAAATTTGGAGTTTCTTATATTTTTAAAATATAAATATCATAGCACCTAACTTCTTCATAGGATTTCCGCCTAAACCACCCATTTTTATAAAAAAAAAATTATTCTTATATTCCGACTATACCACTGACGAAAATGAATATTGTATAAAATGTAATTTAAACCTATATATACATTAAAAAATAATTAATTACTAAAACAGAGATGTACTTTTAATAAATACAAGATTTATATTAAAACAAATACAAAGCTATTAAAAATATTCGTAATTTATATATATATATACCACGAATGTATATGCGTATGTATGTACATATATATGTTACGGGCAAAGTATACAATTTGGGCGATATAGATAACGGATGATATGATTTAATGAAATATGATAAATCGTAAAACATAGTTAAAATAAAGTCAAATTATTATCTAAAAATTATTATCTGTAACTAATTTGTTTGTTCTTATCGTATTTTTACAATGGGGATGTCCGTTTGTTCACATATTATATGCGTGTACGTGACATAATATATTATTACTATATTTACTGTTTTATAAGTTATATTATATGAAGTTGTAGTGATTATCGTGCAGTCGGCCTTTTACCAATTCTCAAAAATGAATTATTTAGTAACCGTGAATCGTTTGTATAGTGCAGGTTAATTCATTCAGTGCGTACCTAACTACTTATTCGAACATGGAAAAGTTTAACGAAGATTTAAACAATTTTTTTTTTTTTTAAAAAAAAGGTTCAAATACTTCATTTTTTACCAAGTTAAAATTTGATCAATTAATTTTACATAAAAATCAATTAAAAAACAATTCAAAGAAAAAGGAACCGAATGATTATAAACTTTTAAAAAACTATGACGTGTTAAAAGTTTCTGATGTTAATAAGTTAATTGTACCAGTATCTGAAAACAACAAAATTAAATATTATGTATATTTATCGATTGGACATGGTGGACGAAACAGAATGGAACACGAGGTAAATACAAAATATAAAAATATCACCAGAGATATAATTATGCTATACTTAAATAGTTGCGAATCATGTAAAAGAAAAGGAAGCACAGCCAAGAAAGGATTGGTGGTGCAATAAATTATATCTACTGAGATGAATTAATCAATAATATAAATACATGTCATTATTCATTGATTTATCATATTTCATTAAATCATATCATTTGTTATCTATATTGCCCAATATACGAAGGGCATTTTATATACTGTTCGGACAATGTATAAAATGCCCGGGCATTGTATAAAATGTCCAAATTGTATACTTTGCCCGTAACATATACATACATATGATATGTGTATGATATATGTAACATAATTTATATTAAATAACATATATATTTTAAGATAATTTATTTTTTAAAATTTTAATTATTTTATATTAAATACAAAGAGACGAATACGAATGTACCAAACATAAGAATTTCAATTTGAAATGTTTAAATGTTATTTTTTTCATTATTTATAACAAATCTTTTGGAAATTAATTGAGATAATAAATTGCTTTCCTGCGGTGTTATTACACTTTGTATTACATAATTTGATATATATTTTTTTTTATCATTGTCAATTGTATTTTTGAATAAATAAAAATTCGTCGAATGGATCAAAAATAACTAGATTTCTGTTCGGATGAGGAGTGAACAGGGAATGGTCAAAGAATTAAACGATCGTTAACACGTGGAGTATATATGTTACACTTAAAACCGGAAATTCGTCAATACTAGTTTTTATAAATCAATTTCGTCAAAACTGATATAGACTAATTAACCAGGATTTCATTGTTAGTGTCAGAGTTAAAAACCGAAATACATCAAAACTAGTTTTAACTAGTTAAACTATTGAATTTACCAAGACTTCAGTATGTTATATTGTTAGATACTTAGTAATAACAGAATTTTATATTAATACCATTGTTAAGTATATTGTATGATAGTCGATATTTGATCGCCAGTCGATCGGTTATCTTAATTTATTTTCATAAATTATACTGCGGTAAACGCTAAATGTCATGATAGTTTACTTTGTCAAAAAAAAAAAAAAAAAAAATAATAATAATAATTATACTTATTTTTGATTGAATTTTGTTACAAAATTGTATTTCAAAATTATTATCAACATTGAAGTCCTGGTTAATTCTAATTTTGATGAAATTGATTTGTAAAAATTAGTATTGACTAGTTAAAACTTAAAATATTTAATATCATATTGTATTAACATTTTTAATGCCTATTGTATATGTGGGATCGATAAATGACAGTGTCTAATCCCCGTCTAATTTTGAGGTAAATTACTCAAAAGCGACTGGGAATACAAATCGTATCACTATATTATAAACACGAAGCAAGTGTACTTTGTTATTAGTCATATATAAACATAGTTTTATTTTAAATTAAGCTTTATTTTTATTTTTCTGGTATTCTACTACAGTAAGTATAAACTATTATTATTTATAAATGGATGATCAAATATTTGCATCTTAAATGTTCTTACAAACGTTTATTTGTGTTTTTTTTTTTTAATTTGTAATTTATAATTTCTATGATTTAACAAATTACATTTCCGTATTCCATATTTGCATCTTACTTTTTGTTTTTGAAAATTTTAATAAAATTAGAAAATTATTATCACTGCAAAATTAAAATCGAGTATAAAATTTAATAAAAATTGAAATTTTATTTTGCATGTTTTGCATTTTTTTCTTGCATATTTTGATTTTTTTTAGTGCATTTTCGTATGCATATTTTATAATTTAAAATGCATGTAAATCCGGTTTTTAGTTATAAGTATGTACCTCCACACACCATACATATGGTTATTGTACCTAAAAAAAAAATATCAAATAATATACTTAGAAGTAAAAAATTATACAGATATAGCTATAGGCATATGTTATATGTTATATAATGCAAATATTTTAGAAAAAAAAAACATCGTAGTTTTTTAATAATCCCACGAATGTACTACGTGTGGCGAAGACTATTATAATACGTATCGTTTGAATTTAAATAATATTACATGGTAGGCATATAAAAACATCATGAATGTTTAAGGTAGTGAAAAAAGTCATTAACATATTATAAGAGTAATGTCCCTACTAATATCATTGACATTGAATAAGTTTTTTGGGTATTCTTTGCTCGAACACTTTTTTATTCATAGGAATACTTAAAGGAAACATTATTTACGAATTAACATTAAGAATACTTACATATTTCAATCCCATAAATGATAAACAATTCTATTGCGATTTTATATGTTTTAACAATAAAAAATTAAAATATATGTGGTATTTATGCGAGTTTTGTATAAAAATGAAATAAAATACTCTTTTTTCTTTGATAATATAGATTATTAATAATAATTTGCTAAACAAATATTTTAGCCTTGAGTAAAATATTTATAATATTATAGATCTCTATATTTTAAATCAATAATTAAATTAAAATAAAATAATTAGATAGTTCGTGTAAAATGAAATAACGATCGTAAATATAACTAATTATAACTTCCAAAGAATTAATATTATATTAATGCATTATTCATTAAATCATATTAAATAAAATAAAATATATTGAGGCATGTACACAAAAAAAAAGTTGGGTTGTGTATTAAGATTTTAAGGGCTACGGTAACAAAAATTATTATCAAATAACAAATCACAACGGACAATTTGATTTAGTTACCTTTACCTGCGTAAAATATTTTTTACTTAGATAAAGACTACTTAACTGGTTGTTAAGTATGCGAATAAAAACATAAAAATAAATATACTTTTTATAATTTTAAAAAATGGGGGAAAGACCTCCAAAACCCTCTCTTGTAAACGTGCCTGATAATAATATGTATATATAATTATTATTCCTATATATAAAGCACAAGATTACTATATCGGGTAAGACTCCACGGCCAGGCAACATCAGTGTTTGATTTGTGGTGGAAGAGAGGGTGGCTGAATACCTCAACTAAATTATTATTTATTCTATTTTTTTCCAAGTCAAGCACTGGATGATATACAGGGATGGGTGATGCATGTTAAATAACTGAACTTGGCTTATACCTGGTATTAATTCGACTTATAATACCTAGATTCTTATAAAATCAAAAACATTCACTATATATATATAATTTATACTACCTATGATACCTACTAATAGTATTATAAATATTATAGTTATTTTATTGTATATAAAATACAACTTAAACTAATGGTTGTAATATAAATAATAAATATAATAAATATTAAAAAAAAGTATTTTACACAATTTTGTAAATAAAATTAATATTGCTATGATTGTATTTTAAATATTTAATACCTGTTATTTATTTACTTATTTATTTTATTGATATAACATCAACAACTAAGATTATTAGCTTACAAGGTATCATAATTTTTACATTCTATGAAATTTACATTAATTATTAGGTACAATCAGTAGCGTATTTATGTGGGGGGGTGAGGGGTTTCCCCCTAGAGAATTTCCAGATCTCATTTTTTTAAATTTCGATCGAATTGAAGTTTGTTAATTTTGTAAATTCGGATAAAAAAAAAATTATAAAATGTATAAATTGTATTAATTTTATATACTATATTTTATTGAAACTAATAAAACCCGGGTGCGAGAATATTGGTGTTTTCGATTGTGCGAGTCGAAACATATACACTTCATAATAATAATAATAATGCCATAATAATAAATAATAAATAAATAATAAATAAAAAATAATACATAAAAATAAATAATAAATAAATAAAATAAAAAAAAAATAATAAAAAAAATAAATAAAATATTAATAAATAAATTAATACTTCATAATGCCTATTATTGTAGCCTATGGTTCGCAGAAAATTACTACTAACCGTGGAGATAGTTGGATGAAGATCGCATTTTGTTTCAGAAAAGTCTTAACTACAATTATTATAATACTTTTATAGAAAAAATTATCTATAGGCTCTATAATCCATTTTTATTTTTAATAATAATGAAAATTTCTTACCTTTTGGATATCCTCGTGGTGTAACAATTTCATCAAAAACATAAAAGAGGATTAAACAAATACTGAAAAGTATGAAAAACATTTTGAATGCGACGGTGAACAGTGGTCTAACACTGCTGCATTTATTTTCTGCACTCTGGTTGATGCATCGAAGTAATGAATTGAGAGAGGGATATACTCGTATTAACCGGTCTCAGGCCCATTTTTAAAAACTTTATTGGGTACATTTAATTGGGAGGGGTTTTCTTATTTCGATATTTTATATGCGCTTCTTTTATTCATACATTATTACTATTATTTTTTTTTTCGTAGTCCTCTTTGTGATCGACTATTTTATTCAAAACTATTCACAAATACTTTATGTTAAATATTAAAGTCACGTATAATTAAAACAACATATTAAATTTGGAAATATATGAACCTAATGAATAATTAAAAAACCAAATATTTAAATGTTGAACCAAAAATATTAATAAAATCTGAGAACATAAATTATAGTAGTATGATAGAATGAAATATTATTATTGAAATATTATAAATAAATTATCTATTATTTATTATTTGCTAATAATATGCTATATAACATGCAGATATAGTATAATATATATTATTAATTATCTTTTTGTAATGCATACCTATCGTTTTTAAAAATCCTGTGAATCAAATAAATTTAAAATTATTTAATTAAATAAACATCTCATAACTATTTTAATTACAGCACATTTTCTTCGATTATTTACATTTCATAATAAATAATAAAAAACTATAAATATATTCTAAATTTAACATCTAATTTTAAGAAACAATAGTATAATATAACATATTAACAGGCTAATAATCTTTGCTGTTGAAGTCTAAATTAATAAATAATAATAATAATAACAAAAAAAAAACAAAGTAAAATATTTTGAACAGTACATTTTAATAGCATTAGTTATTTTTGAAATGGAAATAAATGTGTGTAAATATATATATGATTTAGCATTTAAAAAAAAAAATGCTTATAAAATACATTTTATACTTAAATCAATTAAAAAAACACAAGTATTAAAATGTGGTAATACAACTCAATGTCTAAATCATTATGTATATTATTTGTTGTAAACAATTTTAATTAATTTTTTTAATGAACTTGTTAGAGATAAATTAAGAGTTTTGGCACTTTACTATTTTATAACAACCCTTTCTATACTGACTTACCATAAGTATTTTATTGTTAAAATTAGATTAGATTCTACATTTTCAGTATTAATTACAATTTTAGAATAAAAAAAGAAGAACTTAAATATTGAATTATAGTTACATTAAAATAGATAAAAAACAAATTTTTAATATTGTACATAAGTTTTATCTTTCTTTAATTTTTTAGTACTAATTAATCCAAATGAAATAATTAATCTTAAAAACTATTCATAATGAAATATGTGCATTAGTATTTATTTCTAAGATTGTTAAATTAATTTAATTTTATCCATAATCAGTTTAATATTTAAATCAATTCTATCGTCTTGATTAATATATATCTTATGTAATTTGACTTGTATTTATAATAATTGCTTGTGCGTAACACTTATAAATAAGGATTAGAAATATTATAATTACAATTAACTGATGTTTATTTTATGAGTTAAAAAAATACTTAAAATAGAAAACTTTAATTTGATCATGAAACCGAAATCTATACATGCCAATATGGATTCTAAAACAAATCTCTATTATGTAGATATTCTAACCAGCGGATCACAAATGCTGCTAAACTTTATAACATATATTGATGTGTATATGTGTATACAATTGGATTCGTCAATTAAACGTTTTTATCGAAACAAGATGTTAAATGATAATACATGTGTTAGTCTCCAATAATGTTAAGTAATATTTATGTGCTGTGATAAAATTACCTCTTTGAAAAAAAAAATTTAATGTCGAAGGATTTTATATGGTTAAAATTTAACATTTAATGTACTTTTGCTTAGTAGCATTTTGACTTTTATAAGCATATTGTAGAAATCTGCATTTTATAGTTTTTTTACTGAAGCAATGGCCTATAAATGTGACAAATAATCAAACGAATATAAATTCTTATAGCGTACAACGTACTAGCCAATGACATGACAACGTGTAAATGAAAACTTGTTCATAAATAAATACAGAATAATCCATATTCTGCTTACATAATTAACCACCCATTTTTTTGAACAATTTATGTTTTTCGAAAACAATAAGTTTTATAAAGTTTAAAATTTTTACGAAGAGTTATTTTCTCAATTTTTTTACAGTGTAATAAATGGTTAACTATTTTAGTCGGCTGTTGTGTGTAATTAAATGAAACATATTCTACTACGAAATACTTGTACACTTTTGTGCTTAAGAAAATGATAATTTACATTTTTTGAAAACATATATATATTTTTTCTCATAAAGTAATTTATTCAAAAAATAAAGCTTTAAAATAAAACCAAAATTCAAATAATTGATGGAGACATAATAAATGGATCACTCTGTATGCATATACTGTTTGAGAACGCACGATTTTTCCATGTGAATCTTTCCAGCCTACAGGTGCATACTTATGCGGCGCTAGATGGAATACTCGCTCTCGGGACATTGACTTACTGTCACTCCTCCCACTCCGTGCAAACCGGGCCACACGTGCCACGAAGTAAGTGCATTTTTTTGGGTTCGGGGAGTTTCTTCGCCCGGTATACATACACAATCGATCCGTTGCCCCCACTTATGGTATTTTCGAGTCACCACACGAATTTCTTAGGCGCGACTAAATAATTATGCGGTTGATAAACAGCCTGCACGTGTATGAACCGCTGCATGTTGCGGAGGATCCGGTGACCGCTGAAAGGGGGGAGGGTAGGATGACTGCTGAGTCGTAGTTTTTTTTCCACAGAAAGCGGTTCCTGTCGCGATCACACGCCTCCGTTTTTTTTCCGTTAAACAATTATTATAAATCTAAAACACGTAGAAGATACGATAAACATAATACATAAGACCGAATTTTAAATCAAAATAGAGAAGTGACGTATTGACCTCGCTCCTAAAATTATCATGAAAAATTAAATCAAATGTAAATAAATAAAAGGAAAACAATATGAATGGATTTAGGGTTTCGTGGGCTCATGGTACTTATAAAATAATATTTCTTTACTAGATTTTTTCTATTAGTGTGCTGGCGTTTCGGATCCGTCCGAAAAAAAAAAAAAAGTTTTTACTAAAACAATTAAGTAATTGAGTTGCAGTCCTAAAATGTTGAATACATTACTAAACGGGACCCGTATTGTATACGTGGTATTTTAATCCTCACACGCATTTTGAGGGTTACAGGAGACTTGGCGTTTTCTAAGAAAAAATGTTATTAATTGGTGTAATATTATTTATATTTTATTATCCGTGAAGTATTAACGACCGTCTAAACCTGGGTTTGGATATTATTGAATTCCAATTCTTACGAATTTCGTCCTGTATAAAAAGGTGTAATACTAATGCATCTCCATTACTTGTGAAATCTGAAATGTTTAAAAGTGAAATTATTGGTTATTATTAATTATTTATTGTAACATCAATTTAGTATAAACGTTGACAACTTTCTTGTGTTCCGTTATGTAGACAAACAATTACTGTCGCAGTGCAGTTTAACAGTTCACAACTCTACTCGTATTACTTTTTTGAAAACAAACTTTTATCTTTGATCATGGCGAGTGAAAATAAAGCCATATACAGGGGAAAACAAAACAGTTTATTATTGATGGGTTCAAATTTCTATTTCAAAATAACTAAAAAAAATGATAATGAACGGTGGTGTTATTGTAAGAAAGTGTGTAAATCTTACATTCAATTAAACTCTGATAACGATATAGTCAAAAAATGTAGTAAATATAATCATGAAAAAGAAAACGAAATCATCAAATCGTGCGTGATAATTTAAACGAAAAGTTCTCGACGATATTTATGAGAAAACAAGTAAAATAATTAGCCGTGAATCACTTACTCATGAATCATGTGTATATGTGACATGGTGTATATTCAAATATAGAATAAAAAATAAAGTAAATAATATAAAAAGCAAAATCAATATTTTTAACCTACCTGTAGTAGTTATTATTGCTGTAGATAATTCTAAGTCTGAATAAAAGAAAGAAGGTAAATATTATTTAGTTTTTTTAATTAAAGAGATGCAATTAGTACGTATTAACAAAAAATTCCGGTCGTAACTAGTTTAACCCTCAAAAAAAAAAAATAAATAAATAAATAAATAAATAAATAACCAGAAGCAATTCGGAAGAAGTTGTTGCTTCGGAACGTAATTTGTCGACGGACCCATACGGATCGACCCCTGCCGCGCATCATGATATTTTCTGACCGAGCAACCTTCACTAGCACTACGGCCAAAGTAGGATGGTCTTCGGTGAATCGGTGGAAGCAAATCGAAGTTTTGCCCATCGATAACAACTAGAGTTGTTTTATTTAAAACAAAATGTTTTAATCAAAATGTCAAAAACTGTCTTAAACCATTTATTTAAAACATTATCAACATTGTCTAATACGTTTAAAACATTTATGTCATTTAAATGACTTAAACTAATTTTTAAATAATTTAGAGTTAACGTTAAAATTATAGGATATTTATCAGACATCTAGAAACTTAGAAATTAGGATATGGTAAATACTAAAAAAATAATATTAAACTATTTTAAAAATTTTAAAATACAAGCAGTGGTGAAGCAGGGGGTTGAAAAAGACGAGGATTTATCCCCGGGCGTAAATTGTAGATGATGTAAGTTTTGTAGTAGGTATATGAGTATAAATATAAAATAAAAAATTTTAATGAACAGCCAAATTAAAGAGTTCATTTTTTCATAGATCACGAATGTGAACGTGTTCACTTTTAATAAAAATGAATATAAACATAAACGAGTTTCTTTTTTACCAACTGAATGTTAATGAGTTCATTTTTGGAGTGAACGTTTTGAATATAGATTCTTGGTCTAAGATAGGACGTAATTTTAAAATTTTTCCCGGGCGTAAAAATTCCTAGTTCCACCTCTAGTTACGAGTTATTGCTAAGTAATTATATACACAAAATACGAGACATGAGTAATTAACTGCTATATAAATAAATAAATAAACAATAATCTCAACACTAATGACAGCCGA